AGAACGATACATCATCGTTTCTTTAGAATAAGAACGATCAAACTATCATACCAATAGAACAATTTTTTATATCATTTTTAAGAAACAATCAAATTATCGTTCCTTTCGAACAATTTTCATATCGTTCTTAAAAAACGATCAAACTATCATTTTTTTAAATGATTTTTTATATTGTTCTTAAGAAACGATTAAATATCATTCCTTTTGAATGATTTTGTCATTATTCGTTTGATTTTGCAATTGGATGATGCAAAAATATCCATTTGTAGCATTTATGAGAAATTGTCTAAATTTCGGATTAACTGAAATTTTAGTTTAGTTCTGAAAAAATTTATTTATTTATATTTTTTTTTCTAGTGAGGCGATTTTTTAGGCAGAAATTTAACCTTTTCCTTTCTTTTTTCTTGTTTTTTTAGGAAATTTTTATTTTGGAATTAAGGTAAATGAATCAGAAGTGACCTTTGTGACATTTTCCTTTCTTTGTTCTTGTTTTTAGGAAATTCTTATTTTGAGAATTAAGGCAAGCAAATTGGAAGTAACTTTTAGATGGTTTTAACTCTTTTTTTTATTTTTTCTGTTTTTTTTAGGAAATTTCTCTTTTCAAAACTAAAGTAAGCCTTTTGGAGGTAACTTTTATATGATTTTTAACCCTTTTTTTCTTCATTTTTTTCTTTACTTTCTTTAGGAATAAATTAAAGTAAACCTTTCAGAGATGGTTTTTAGTGGGTTTTCTAATAGTTTTCTTTATTTTTTCTTTACTTTTTTTTAGGAATACATTAAGATTAGCCTTTCAGAGATAATATTTTGGTAATTTTCTAACTGTTTTCTTTATTTTTTCTTTACTTTTTTTTTTAGGAATACATTAAGGTAAGACTTTCAGAAGTGATATTTTGGTGGTTTTCTAACTGTTTTCTTTATTTTTTCTTTACTTTTTTTAGGAATACATTAAGATAAGCCTTTCACAAGTGATATTTTGCTGGGTTTTCTAACTGTTTTCTTTATTTTTTCTTTACTTTCTATAGAAATACATTAAGGTAAACCTTCAGAGGTGATATTTTAATGGTTTTCTAACTGTTTTCTTTATTTTTTCTAATAAATCAAATGTATCTTTTTTAAATAAAATATAATACAATATATATTTTTTTTGAGTGATTTATTATGTAATAATAAAATAAATTATAAATCATAATAAACAAATAATGAGTTTTATTAGTTTTGATTTTTAATTGATTTTTACTGATTATTAACCAATTTTAAGCTGATTTATGTCGAATTTTGACTAATTTTTAATATAAATGCTGATTGATAGCTGATTTTCTATTTATTTAAAGTGCTGATATTTGGTAATGATCAGCAGAATCAGACTATATTTTGGCCAACTTTTGGCACTTTAAGTGTGACAAATTGTATTATTTTGCCTAGTAATATATCAAATAACTACCAATCCTTAATGTCGAAAGTTTTTTTGTGTGACATGAAAATGGACAACTTTAGCTATAACTAAAAATGCTGATTGTTTTGACAATGATCGGTAGAAATCAAACTATATTTTGGCTAATATTCAGCACTTATTTTGATTAGTAATATCATTTGACTACTTTTAACCTCTTATATATCACAGAATTAACATAAAATGATACAGATCACAGATATACCATATTTTACTATTATGATATCACAGAATATCTATTATGTAATATTTACAAAATAGATAAATTTCAAATTATTATTATATTCTTTAAGCTAATATTTGTCATTAAAAAAATAATACAATTCGTCATATCATTGCCAAATAATTAGCATTTTTAGTTATAACCAATGTTGTCTATTTTTATACTATACAAAAAACAATATGAAATTAATGATTGATAGTTATTTGATATATCACTAAGTAAAATAATACAATTTGTCACATTTTAAAATGCTATAAGTTAGCCAAAATATAGTCTAATTCTGCCAATCATTGCCAAAAATCAGCATTTTGAATAAATAAAAAATCAGCTTAAAATTAATCAAAAATCAGTAAAAATCAATTAAACAACTATTTATTAAAATCGAAACTAATAAAACTCATTTTTTGTTTATTTATGTTTTTAATTTTATTTTATTATTAGATAATAAATTACTTAAAAAGAATATATATTTTATTCGAAAAAGATACATTTTATTTTAAGAAAAGAAAAAATAAAGAAAACAGGTAGAAAACTACCAATATACCATTTTTAAAAGTTTTACCTTAATATATTCCTAAAAAAAAAGTAAAGAAAAAAATAAAAATAGTTAAAAATCCACCAAAATACCACCTCCAATTTACTTATCTTAAAAAGCAAAGAAAGATGAAAAAAGAGTTCAAAACTATCTAAAAGTCACTTTTGATTTGCTTACTTTTAATTCCCAAAATAAGAATTTTTCAAAAAATAAGAAAAAAGATTAAGTTTTTACCCAAAAATCACCTCACTAAAAAAAAAAAACAAAAGAAAAAACAAAAGAAAAAATTTATTATGAATATTTGAAAGTTTATCAGTTTTATATTGTAAACTAAACTAAAATTTCAAATAATCTGAAATTTAAATATTATTTTTTATTTATCATAAATGCTTCAAATGGATAATTTTATATCATCTAATTGAAAACATATAAAAAACCTTTTGAAAGAAATAATAATTTGATTATTCCTTAAAAACAATAAAAAAAATCATCATAATTTTGAAACGATAATATTTTGTTTCTTATAAATGAAGAAAAAATCATTCTTTCGTAACAATAATTAAATCATTCCAAAAGAATGATACCAAAATTATTCTTCAGTATGATGATAAATTATTAATTTAATACTTCAATTAAAAGCCTTTTTATTTTCTAAAAAAATAAAATCTAAAAAAAATGTTAATAAGGCTTGTATAATAATATCATAAATTTTAATATTATAAATTTACTTAAAAAGGTTGAGATTTCCTTTAAAGAGAAAGTCATAGTAACCTTTTCTCTCTTTAAAGAAGAAGCTTCTAAATCACTAAGATTAAGCAAATATCTTATTAGTATATCACTAGAAAATTTTCTCATTATAGTCAATAGGTCTATTTTAAGATTTAGAAGACTTTTCAATTCCAAGAAATACTACTGCTCTGCAAATGCAATATTTGAGAACGGTCATCTTAACCTCAACTTATGGAATTCAAAAATGTGGTCTGTCATTCTTAAGAAATGGTTAATATCGTATCGTTATTACTATTGGGAATAATTCCCGTATACTATAGAAATTTTATAGTTATGGGATTGTTTACAAGATTTTGAGTCAGATTTATGCCTATCGATACAAGAATAGGTAACTCAAATGTATATTTTTTAATCTTGATTTTATTTTTGATTACTAATAATTTATTATGACCGTGCTTTAAATGGTGGAAAACGTAAAGCATTCTTATCGGATTACTATTTTGATGCTGTTGTAATTTCATAACTATGCTTCACGTCTAAATGCTTTGTCTTTATTCTTCAGATATAATTATGCACTTTCTGCGGCATTGCACAAAATGCTACGATGGTAATCTTCTTTTGTTTAGATGGAATCGCTCAGGTGAGATAGGTGAGATATTATTTGAAATTTGAGGAATAAAAATATTCTTTTTTGACATGTATTAATGACATGAGTTTATTCTAAAAAAGGTATCGTTTCCAGAATGGTGGGGAAGTAATCATGAAACTCAAAGTGAAAGATTCTTTGATTCAAAAGAAATTTGATGATAAATATCTAGGAACATTGTTTTGAGTAGCTACTTTTTGAATATCATTTTTGATACCTTATTATTTAATAATAAACAATAAAAAAAATGTACCGCTTTATTGAATTATTCACGTATATTCGTTGTTAAACATCTGTAAATATAGACACAAAAATAAGGAAATAAATTCCGTAAATAAATGATTTTTATTTTATGAAACTAAATTTTCTTATCTATGGAATCTTTCCCTCTGACATATATAGGAATATGAATGATTTTACTATTAACTATCAAAACTTTTAATATTCTATATTCTGTCATTTTTTGGCTTCATTTTGTAAATCTTTCATCTAATAGAATTTTTTTAAACCCAAAATATATAATAATGTAAAGGAAAAAAACACCAGGCCTTTTCTTAAGCAAATTTTTTTTAACTTTTACCGGATTTATCGGAATGTCGCTAGAAAACTACTTATCTCTTACGAAATCAATTTTTTTTTGTCCTTATCGTTAAAAAATATTTCTTCTTTTAATGAGCTACTAAATAATTTTATATTTCGATGTAAATAGTTCCTTTGATATAAATGATAGTAAGGTTATGTCACGGAGTTATTAGAGGCGAGACACTCTGACCAACATGTTACACAAAATCGAAATAATCAATTGTGTAGTTTTTAGTTTTGTTGCACATAAAACAATGAGCCATTTAGGAACCTAGCATATGCATAGAGGTAAAGGAAGCATTCCTTTATTTCGAATCTTGATTCTTGTCATGTATGTGGGTACATTGGAAGGAAGTAAGGACAAAGATAAAACTTTATTGATGATGCCATTGAAAAAGATGGTCAAGATGTCTTAATGGATTTTTTTTTTTTTGAAAAAACTATATTTCGAAAATTTGTTAGTCATTCTCAAGTTTTTTAACAATGATATATATTGACGATTTACACTTAATAGTAAATAAAAATACACCGCATGAATGATAAAGTTAAAAAAGTATGGTTAAAATAGGTTATGGAGGCTTTTTATTTATCACACAATGTTACACCACCCGAAGTATTCTGGGGATTTTGTTTTGGAAATCCTAAACGTTACACCAATTCGTTTGACCTCTATCCTCTTATATGTCACTTGATCGACATGACGTAGATTTGGTTCATTTTTCAAATTTCATGTGGCAGTGTTTCACAAAAGTTTGTCAGAATTTGTACTACTACTACTTAAAAAGTAACGACAATAAAAATTCTCTGTTTATTTTTATTTGTTTATTTTGTAACAATGCCTACGATAATAGAGAGTATACATGGTGAGTAGGATGTGATGTTTATTGAAAAATGTATATACTTATTAATAACTATACTAATTAATTTTATTACATAGATTGTAAGTTTTTTATTTTAGTATATTTTTGTTAGTTATATTTAACTAATTTTTTTTTTTTATTTGCAAAAAAAAAAAAATTAATCAAAGATCGTAAGTTTTTTTAATTTTAATTTATTATTTCACATATTATGATTAATTTATCTAAAAAATATTTAATTTATAGATGGTAAGTTACTTTATTGATTTAACGATAATATTGTTATGTAAACTAAAATCGCTAAATTAATTTTTAAAAAAAATAATGTCACAGCAAGTGAGTTAATTTTTATTGATTCTTTAAATTTGATTATTAATTTAAAACAAACCTAACTTTATTTTATAATAATTGATGACAAAGGTTGTAAGTTATTTTTATTCATTTTTTGACAATATATTTATATTAATTTAAACTCTACTCATTTTAATTAAAATTGATTCTTGATTTATAGCTAGTAAGTCGTTTAATTGAAGTTTTAAAAATATTTATAATAATTTTTTTTTACATATTAAATTAAATAAATTTAATTTTAAATTAAAAAACTTAACATTATAGCAAGTGAGTTAATTATAATTTTATTTCTTTATACTTTAATTGAAACAATTCTAATTTTTTCATCAATAATTTTATAGAATGTAAGTATATTTGGTTATTCTTCAACGTTAATTTAAAATCTACTAACTTTTACTTCAAAAAAATATAACGTTGACAATTATAGTTCGTAAGTAATTACTTTTAAATTTATATATAATTTTAACATTAATTTAACTCAATTAATTTTGTTTAATTACAGTTGGTAAGTTATATTTTCGCTAATTTTTTCAATTAAACTTAAATTGTTAAATTTTTTACTAAACTAAAATAATTATAATTTTAATATCAGAGCGTAAGTTATATTATTAGTTCTTCAACTGTATTTTTTAAATTTAACAAATTTTTTATTAATAATGATATATTATTCGTATAGAATGTGAGTTATTTTTGTTGATTCTTTTAATATTTTTTATATTATTTAAACTTAACAATATATTTTATATAAAAATATTTAATATAACAGATGGTAAGTTTTTTATGTATTCTATAAATTTTTAATTTATATTTATTTAATTATATTTTTTATAATTTATAATAGGAAGTAAGCTCTTTATAAATTTTTAGCTATAATATTTGTAATCTTAAATACAACTAATTTTTATTTAAAAAATTTTAATTTTACAGAAAGTAAGTATTTGAATAAATTCTTTATCTATTATTCTTACATTAAATTTTACATTACTAAATTAACGATGATATTATAGATTGTAAGTTAATTAATTGATTTATTTAATTTATAATAATTTAATAACTTAAGTTTTTCACTTAAAAATAATTGAATAATATAATAGATCGTAAGTTATTGATATTTTAGCTATAAATTCTCAATGAATTTAAATGACTAACTTTAAAAATCATTATTTTAGTTGGTAATTATCATAACATTTTTTAAAATGTATTTTTATATTAAAGTATAATTAAAAATTTTATTTTCTAAATATTAAACATTAAATATTATAGAAAGTAAGTTATTCAATGTGATTTTGAACTATTTATTCATTTTATTTTAAACTCTTTTAATTCTATAATTTATATTATAGTCGGTAAGTTAATTTATTAATACTTTAATCTATAAAGTCTATAAAGTTAAAATCAATTAAACTTTATTTAAAATAATTAATGTTACCGTTACTACAGATCGTAAGTTATTCTATTTATCCTTCTCGGTTTTTTATTTAATAATCCAAAACTAATTTTTACATTTAAAATTAAAGATGGTTAGTTAATTTTATCGATTAAAATTATAGATTTTTTTAGTTAAATATACATTTAACTAAATTTATAAAATTTAAAATATTTTAATATTCTAGGAAGTAAGGTTTCTTATAATTTCTTTACTATATGTGTATTTTATTTAATCTTTATCTTGACTAAATTTCTTTAAAAATAAATAGGTCGTAAGTTATTTATTAAATATATCATAGATTTTGATATCAAATCATTAATTAATAATATCATATTATTTAATTTAGCATTTCTTTTTTATAAAAAGTTAGCAAAAGATAAAAATGTAGTTGCACAATATAATTTAGCACAATGTTATCAAAATGGATGGGGAATTGAAATAAATTTAGAAAAAGCATTTTATTGGTATCAGAAATCAGTAGAAAATGATAATAAGGAAATATTTTATTGGCTTCAACAATCGGCTAATCAAAATAATAATAATGCACAATATATTTTAGCCAAATGTTATCAAAATAAGTGGGGAATTGAAATGGATTTAGAAAAATCATTTTATTGGCTACAAAAATCAGCAGAATGTGGCAATAAAATTGCACAATATAATTTAGCTGAATGTTATCAAAGTGGATGGGGAATTGAAAAAAGTTTAATAAAAGCATTTAAATGGTATGAAATATCAGCCAATTTAAATAATAATAGTAAAGCACAATTTAATTTAGCTAAATTTTATCAAAATGGATGGGAAATTGAAAAGGATCTGAAAAAAGCATTCTATTGGTATCAAAAATCTATAATAAATGGTAATAAGAAAGTATTTCTTTGGCTTCAAAAATCAGCTAATCAAAATAATAATGATGCGCAATATATTTTAGCTAAATGTTATCAAAATGGATGCGAGATGGAAATTGAAATAGATTTGGAAAAAGCGCTTTATTGGCTTCAAAAGTCTGCAGAAAGTGGAAATGCAATAGCACAATATAATTTAGCAAAATATTATCAAAATGAATTAGGTATTGAAAAATATTTAGAAAAAGCATTTAAATGGTATGAATTATCAGCAAATTTAAATAATAATAAAGCAAAAAATAAATTAGCTAAATGCTATCAATATGGTTTGGGAATTGAAAAGGATTTAATAAATGCATTTTATTGGTATCAAAATTCAGCAAAAAGTGATAATGAAATTGCGCAATACAATTTAGCTAAATGTTATCAGAATGGATGGGGAATTGAAAAGGATTTAATAAAAGCATTTAATTTGTATCAAGTATTAGCTAATCAAAATAATAGTATTGCACAATATAATGTAGCAAAATGTTATCAAAATGGATGGGGAATTAAAATAGATTTAGAAAATGCATTTCATTGGTATCAAGAATCATCAATTCAAAATAATAGTAATTCATTATATAATTTAGCTAAATGTTATCAAAATGGATTAGGAATTAAAATAGATAATATTAAATCTTTTGAAATTTATGAAAAATTAGCAAAGCAAGGATATTGTGATGCACAAAATAAGTTGGGATTTTTTTATGAGAATGGTATAAAAAAGGAAAAAAATTTAGAAAAAGCATTTTATTGGTATCAACAATCATTAAAATGTAGTAATAAAAAAGTATTTTATTGGCTTCAAAAATTGGTAAATAGTGATAATGAAATTGTACAATATAATTTAGCCAAATGTTATCAAAATAGATGGAAATTTAAAAAGAATCTTAAAAAAATATTATATTGGAATCATGAATTTGCTTATCAATTTAATAGTAATAATCAATTTAATTTTCATGATAAAAAGGAACTTGAAAAAGATATTATAAATGCATTTTATTGGTATCAAAAATCAGCAAATCTTAATAATAACAATGCACAATATAAATTAGCAAAATGCTATCAAAATGAATTAGGAATTGAAAAAAATTTAGATAAAGCATTTAAATGGTATGAAGTATCAGCAAATTTTAATAATAATAAAGCACAAGATAATTTAGCTAAATGCTATCAAAATGGATGGGGAATTGAAAAGGATTTAGAAAAAGCATTTTATTGGTATCAAAAATCAGCTAATCAAAATAATTGTGATGCTCAATATGGTTTAGCTAAATGTTATCATAATGGATTGGGAATTGAATTAAATTTAATAAAAGCATTTTATTGGTATCAAAATTCAGCCAAAAGTGGTAATAAAGTTGCACAATATAATTTAGCTAAATGTTATCAAAATGGATGGGGTATTGAAATAAATGTAGAAGAAGCATTTTATTGGTATCAAGAATCAGCTAATCAAAATTATAATGATGCACAATATTATTTAGCTAAATGTTATCAAAATGGATGGACACTTAAAAAAGATGAAGTAAAAGCATTTGAATTATATGAAAAATTAGCAAAACAAGAAAATAGTGATGCACAAAATATGTTAGGATCTTTTTATGAATATGGCATTGAAATAAAAAAAGATCTTAAAAAAGCTGTTTATTGGTATCAAAAATCAGCTGAAAAAGGAAATAAAATCGCACAATATAATTTAGGTAATTGTTATTATTATGGAAAAGGTATTGGAATAGATACTAATAAAGCATTTGAATTGTATGAAAATTCAGCTAACCAAGAGTATAGTAATGCGCAAAATGATTTAGGATATTATTTTGAAAATGGTATAAACATAGAAAAAAATTTAGAGAATGCATTTTACTGGTATCAAAGGGCAGCCGAAAATGGAAATAAAGTTGCACAATGCAATTTAGCTCTATGTTATCGATATGGATTGGGTATTGAAAAAAATATGGTTAAAGCATTACAATGGTATGAAAAATCAGCAGAGAATGAAAATGAATATGCACAATATAATTTAGGGTTTTTTTATCATGAAGGCGTATGGATTAAAAAAAATTTGAAAAAAGCTTTTTATTGGTATCAAAAATCAGCAGAAAATGGAAGTGTAATTGCACAATACAGATTAGGTTATTTTTGTGAAAAAGGCATTGGAATTAAAAAGGATCTATCAAAAGCCTTTTATTGGTATCAAAAATCAGCATTAAATGGAAATGAAGAAGCACAATACAATTTAGCCAAATTTTATGAATATGGTATAGGAATAAAAGAAGATTTAGAAAAAGCATTTGAATGGCATCAAAAATCAATAAGAAATGAAAATAAGCCTGAAAAAAATGTTGGAAAATTTGAAGTTAATAATAAAAGCAACGATAATACAATTGAATTTATTAATGATTCCTTGGTAGAAGATAAAGTTAAATTTATATCCTCTAATGAGCTAATTGATTTACAACCACTTAATATAGGGGGTTTGCGAAGTATAATAAAAGCGACTTGGTTAAAAACTAATGATCATGTTGTTTATAAAAAATCAAATAATACAGAATTAAATGCATTTATTCATGAATTAAAAGTGCATTTGCGTCTTAATAATAGTAATCGAATTATACGTTTATTGGGTATTAGTCAAGGTAATTATAATAGAATTTAATGATTTTATTTAAATAAATATAAATATATCTTTATTTCTTTTTCAGGTGAAATTACAAAAGAATTTTTCCTTGTAATGGAATATGCGAAATGTGGTAATCTACAAAATTATCTTAAACGTAATTTTGACAATTTAACTTGGAATGATAAGACAAGGTTGTCATTTCAAATCGCAGATGGATTGAATTATTTACATAATGAGGATATTTTACATAGGGATCTTGTAAATATCATATTTTATTCTTTTTATTGTATTTAAAGTAAGATATAATTTACTAACAATTTATTAATTTAGCATTCAAAAAATATAGTTATTCATGAGAATAATGCCAAAATTACGGATTTTGGTATTTCAAAAATTGAAAATAATTCAACGATGCACATTGGACTTTTTAGTAGAATTGCTTATATGGAACCGCAGATGCTTATAAGTCAAAATTTTAAATACATCAAACCTTCAGATATTTATAGTTATGGTGTATTAATGTGGGAAATTTCTAGTGGGCACCCTCCATTTATAGATTATAATGATAATTTGTTAATTGCCATTATTAATCAAACTCGTGAGAAAACTATACCAAAAACTCCCGAAGTATACGAAAAACTTTATAAACAATGTTGGAATCATGAACCTGAACAAAGACCAATTATTGAAGAAGTGTTAGAAGTGTTAAAGAAGATGATTGACTGAAAAAAAGTATGAATATAAAGTATTTAATTAAATTCATTTTTCATTTTTATATTAATTTAGTATTGAGTAATTGTTGTAGAAGCTGTAAACAATCATTCTCAAATTGATATTTTGATTTAATCGGTATGTTTATCTATTGAAATTTTCAAATTGAATTATATATCTAATCTTTTAGTAAAAAATTTCTTAAATTAAACGTAACAACATTATTAACACTTCCTTAAATTTATAGATTTAAAATAATTTTATGTATGTGAACACTGTATAGAGTAGCTAATATAGCATAGAGCAGTTTGTAATCATTTAAATAAAGTATTTTATATCGATTGATTAACCTATTTCAAATTAGATTGTCTTTGAACTTTGTTAGCCTTAAGTTAAAATATAAATACATGTGAAGGCTATTCATTAATTATTGCTAAGTTGAAATATTTTGTTACAATCGGTAAATGAAATCGATTGTAATCTTGATTTGGCATAATTGCCTAAAATTGAAGAAAATGATCCTTTGGAGTTCAAATTAACAATTGCATCTTCAGTATCTAGTGAATGGCTTTTCTCTGATGCGAGAAATCATGTATCTGTGTCTCAATTTGATATTTTCCCTCCTCTTTAAGAAAATTAGTTATTTGAGTAAATTTGAATATAAACATGCGTTAATAATAGTATTTGATGTGATTTCGGGTCAAATCATAGAAAAACTAAAACGCACTTTTAAAATTAATTATTACCTAATAAATTATACCCGCAAAAAAAAAATGATGAATGTAAAATTGGAAACTTCAGCCGCATAAACACTTTCTATCTTTAACTTATTAATATAATATGTAATACAATATTTTATTTGGCTTAAACGGTCACAGGCATATATTTTTACTTTTCATATAATTATTAGCGATAAAAATCAATCTTGAGCGGGCACTAATTTGGCTATACGGCCACCTGTTCTGAGATACGGTTGGCCTTTAATCGAGTGAAACGGTTCAGGGGAAGGACAAAATAAAGACGAATTTGACTGTTTGTAATTTTTTTCCTAAAATATTGTTACAATAGCTAGTTAACAATTACACATGCGATGTATTACTTATTTTTAATAGTTAGCTGATCTGAGTCAGCGTAGGCCAAATTGGCCGCTGGACAAGTTTACCACTGGACAAATCGGCAAATCGTACTTGTCAATTTTCAATTTAATATGTAAAATGCGGATTGTTACTTGGGTTCGAATAGACGGTTTTATATTCAATAACATATAAATTCCCCAATAAATCCTTTAGACAGATATCTTTAATAGGCCGTAGTAATTTCGCAACGATCAATATTTAATAAAATTGGCTCCGAAGGTACAGAGCGCCGACGTTGAGGCAGTATTAATCTATTTAATTTTTATCCATTATTACATAATTAAAAATCCTTCTGCTATTTTACATTCGTTTATAAATATAAACTCTAAAGAACTAAATGCAACGATATCAATGATTTTCTCTAACCCGCTCAGCCTGATTCCCCAACAGTAATCTAAATAGGATATCAGGAAGAATTAACGAATCAATCAATTCAAATTGCTTTAGTTGAGGATGACAATATTTCTCGGCATGAATTTGATTGATACTTGAGAATATCAAAGTCGGAAAGGAGTCTCATCTTCGACATTTATCTTACAATCAATATATATAAAAAGTAAAATAAAAATAAAAAAACTACTATTATTTTTTATTTAATCACGTGTATTTTGCAAATTAAAAGATTCAACAATTAAATAATAATAACTTCTTATGAGCATTGTCGTCGTTGGTAGTGCGTAGGATTTATATGCTGGTACGATTCGTATCGTGCGAAATATTGGTTGTTTGTTTGATGAAGAGTTTCTATGTCTTCTGTGTCGAGGTAAATAGTTGCAATGTGACCTCCGAAGCAAGGAGTCAAACAGGTATTCAGTATTAACTCGAATTATTTTAGTTTTTTTTTTTTTTCTTTAAATAATTTATTATTTTTTTGAATCAATCATTCTTTTATTAAAAAAAATCTTGAAACTTTAAATCTAATTTCTCGAATAATGATAAAATATTCAAAAAAGATATATTCAAATGTAATATAAATCTGATTTATTATAAAAAATTTTAAAATATTTCTGTGTTTATGTCTCTTATTATCATATATGTAACTTATGATGAAATGATTGGTTATGTTGTACCCAAATGCATTACTGTCGCGAAGATCGTTTCGGTCCCAAATCCGCATTTATCCCAAATGATCATTTCGGATAATATCACAAATACTCACTTCGGATAATATTATCCTAAATGCTCATTACACCAAATTGTCAGGGTATGATCTTTATCTTATCGCAATAAAACACTTTAGAAAACTTTAGAAATTATTGTGGCAAAATAATAAATTTTATTTATAATTTATTCGCAAGTTTGTGTTAGAAACTTTTACCAATGGTGATAATTGGATTTGGACAACATAAGTATTCAAATTAAATTAGAAATTTTTTTTTATTTCTAATCGGATAAAAAAAATAATTTTTTTATTTGTTCAAACATTCTTAAATTTAAGAATAGTTTTTTTTTCGTCTAATGAAATTGTATTTTATGATCGTAATTAATAGTTACGCGCTTCCCTTTGAGGAGACGGGAGCCATTACGGTAGATCTATCGTTTCTCTATGGTACGGTATCCAAAAAATATAATCAAACTGTACTAGTCAAATCGAACCGTTCTGGTTTCCTTTTATGAAAAGGTGTTGAAATAAATAAACGAAGATTAACGTTAATGAAAAACTTTCGTCCGTCATTGTGAAAAAGTTCGACATACTATTCAGATATTAAAGTTTAATTTTTAATAATTAAATTTTTTTGCTGTTAAAGCTTTAAACTTTAAATCGAAAAAAATGCAATTTATTTTTAAAGAAATTTAGAAGTTATAAAATTAAATGAGCTATGGATTGGCACTCAAAATTATATGTTAATAAGTTTATTCGTGCAGTCTCTAAATTAATATTTGCGGTAATTATTAAACTTATCAATAGATTATCTTTTAACAAATAAATGGATGTTAAATCTTATTAGGATAAATTAAATATTTACGATAACTGTTCATTTGCTATCAAACAAATAACCGAGAAATATGATGATGTGATGTAAGTTAGTATGATTAAAAAATGGACTCAATATTTCGTTATTTGAAGTCACCCATGCATAATGCTAGTTAAATATGTATAGTATTTATATAAGCGGTATCTTAGAAAAATTATTTAGGTCCCTTAAAATACCATGGGCGTGGTACAATAAATCAATGAATCTTGAAACCAAATAAACAACATAATGATTATACTATAACTGTATTGCGTGTAATATTTAGAATAAATTACTGCGCAGAAAAAAATTTTGCGGTCATGGTGCAGTTAAGTTTACGGTTAAAACTGCATCGTTTGTCTATACCCACTGAAGGCGTGATCCATGCTGAGCCGATTAACTATAGCCAATCATGTGATTTTGATTGGTTGGCCGATCTGACCAATATGACAAATTGGACAAATCTGTCATATTTGACTTAGTTTAGATAGATTAGATAGATTAGTTATATTTATTATATTTATTACATTTATTATATTTATCATATTTATCATATTTTATTTGCTATTATTTTATTTTGTATAAATACTTTGTATCTTTGACCTGCTAAATGGCAGAGTCATTACAATTCTCTAATAAATCAATACTTTATCCCTAAAACTTATATTTGCTCGTTAAACAATTCATTCTTCTTTAAATCTATATAAATAAAGATGACCTGACCCTTAAATTTAATTATTCGTGTTTATTTCTTCCATAGTTTAGACGCAATTAAACTCCCTGCTAGCAAATAATCCTTGTTAACTTAACGACAAACAGTTTAAGCTTAACACCACTCTAATATATATTATTACCTATAATTGAGAATTAAATTTTGATTTGTGATTCTAGGCTCCTTGCGGAGTTTAGATTGAAAATTTTTTGATTTTCCTATATAATAGTTATTCAAAACGAAATGCCAAATACCTATTAATTATTTAGAGACTAATCTAAGTGGCTGAACAGAGCATATTTAAATCAATTTGAATATTATAATTATCATTAACATACATATTTCTGTTAAATCATCTGTCCATTGTATCTTTATAATGAGTTATTTAGATAGGTGATTTGACAATAAAAGTTAAATCATTGTAATTCCTACAGTAAAAAATTTTGCTTTCTGATATTGTAGTTAATGCATAAATCCAGGAGAAGACATAATAAAACTAACGAAAGATTAAAATCTGCAATGATGTATTTGTGATATCACATTTACGTGATTAAAGGTATCAAAATATTGCTTTCTATATTTAACTCATAAAGAAACTTTATATCTCAAATCTAAGTTATTTTAACGGAAAATAACTTACTTGGAAAAACTTTATTAGAGAACTTTTTCATGTTATTAGTAGGAATTACAAATATTTTTAATTCATACATTTATCTTCACTTTTCAATTAGAGTAGGTTCAATAACTAATATATGTTAATTGAATACAACTTTGTATAACAATACAACTTTAAATTTAGTCAAATATTTCTTAGAAATAAGTGTAACTAAAGCAATTTCTAAGATTTTTTAAAAATTTTTTCAAAATATAACTTGATTTTCTAGTCCTATTATAAATATAAATGAATAAAAAAATGAAAAACAATAAATATACTTTAATCTAATATTAATATTGTCTATTTTAATGCAAATTTGTAAATATAAAATATTTATTTATGAACAGAATTTATCTTTATGAATAAATGGGAGCTTTGCAATAGAAAGGGAGGAAACTCTAAAAAAATAAAAATTTTACTTTCTAAGCTAATTATATATTTTTTGTAAAATAAGTCCAGATTTAACATTAACTCAAAAAAAAATTTTTTTAGAGTTTCCTCCCTTTCTATTGCAAAACTCCCAAATCAGAAAAATCAGTT